GGTGCTGCGATCCCTGCCGACACATCCTTCTGCTGCTGCCACCCTCAATTTCACATTGCGTGTTAATATCCATGCGCCACTCTTATCTGAAATAATATGTATATTTTTACTTAAATAGATTGCATAACATTGGTCATTTTTATATATCCAACCAACGATCTATTCCATTATCTAATTTCTAACATATTGCTACATCAACATATTTTATTTAACACTTCAATCTCAATAGTCTTATTTGCCCTCTAGGGGACACAAGAAGCACCCACTCCGATGGTTACACGCATGTAATATTCTTTCTGCCTAGCTTATTTCTATACATTTTTCACTTTTTAGGACGATTCTCATTTTAGGCCAACTAAATGCCTACACAACATTCTGTTTTAAACAACTAATAACCCACAAAACAAGCATCCCTTGTAGCTCAATCGAACGTGCTGATTATTCACAGTTCCTTCAATATGGCCATTATGCTAATACGAGCACTTTCAACAAACATTCTACGATACATACTTTATGAAACTTATATTCTACCTCTTACGACAATGTGACACGATCACCGGTACCAAATGACTTACTCCGTATTTCTTCCTATCTGATTTCTCAAATGATTCAGGTTCATGTTTACATACATTACGTTTAACATTACGGCACACGTAACCAGCACAGTAATGCCTCCTCTACTTTAACACACATTTCAAACGTATTCTGCTTCCTTATTCAACACATCACTGAAAATATACTTTGATTTTATCACTGACTCACTAAGGGTCATAATATACATATCTTGAAACTAGTCCAAACGGGTTTGTACCTATGTGCCATCATAATTTTATATTAGAGCAAAACTACACCTACATTCAAGAACATAATTCTCTAAGTACACAAACAGTTGCCTACCTATCCTTTTTATATAACATGTGACTCATTTCCAATGTTTTTAGTTACATTTATGTATGACCAACGCCTAACATGATATATGTAACACTGACACCTTTCTTACATTTGTGTACCCACTATATCTATTATTATCCAAGATCTTTCATTGTCTTTATCAATTTCATTATACATCTTGATCCAACATTACAATGCCTATGATCAAGTACACAATTCGGCTCTATACGTGCCTACATGACTATGCTTTATTTCAAGGACCCACAGCCTTCTAGAAAGATTTCCTATTACAAAACTATTCTTTCCATTTATTCTATTCTCTATATGGATTATAAACATTCCTTATTATTAAGCAATAGTACTATCAAGTAATACATATACGATTTAAAGATTATATTCTAATCACATCTTATCTCAATCATGTCTATACATTCAATTTATATTTCTATATTTATTTAAGGCTACCTTCCTTTGGGGGGAAGGGGGGGAACACGACTGACAAGCGCCCCACGGCCACAACGCGTTAGTGTACAAAACACTGAAAACATACCTCGCTGACTTAGCACACATTAATTACCTCAGGACACCTTATCAATTTCTCTTTACCACTGATTACTCTACAACTGGTGGAGTACCTGGACAATATATCTACAAGCAACATTTCCTCAAAAAATTCCATTTCTACACTGCAGCACAGAAATTGACACCCTCACCACCTATCATCCTTTTCCATAGCACTCCAAAATTAATCACGTACCAATGCTACCACAACTATCTACAGGAAACCTCTGATAAACAATTCTCATGCCTAAAATCAAACTTATCCACTCTGACACTTGTGAATGGTGGGTTGCTGTCTGACAAGTATATTCAATGTTATTTGTATAACATTTGCTAATTTCTACGATTGTATAACTATTATATCCAATAAATCGGTCCGTTACAAACCGAGGCAACGCCTCATATTAAATTTAATATTGTACTGCACCTCCTGATTCTTTCTCTAACCATACAAAACCTTATTAGTCTCCCTTGTGTGGAAAACATTGTAATCACACTCACTGAACATCTACATATTACATTTATATGAACACTTCATTTATATATTCAAATTAACATTGCCTTCTTTAATTTTCTGTAATATGTCATACAATTTTATCCATTTCATTCAAATCTCCTTTACTTAATAGTACTTACAAAACATTTTAGGTAATTTATTATCACTAATACAATTTCAATTCTTGTGTTAGTACTAAAAATATATTGCCTCTATAGTTATGGTACTAGGCTGCACTATGTACATCTTTAAATCCCTGCTTTAAACAACTGTTTAATAATATAACTTATTTTATTTAAATCCTTATTTTTTTTTTTTAAACTTTTGACATTTGTCTCCAGGGGGAGATTGGAAATTCAACTAATTCAACACACCTGCCCAAATTCAACCGACCTGCCCCTTACAGCCCACATTCTCATTACGATAACAGGAGCTACGATTTACAACCACATACAGACTTAGTTTGTTTATTTGGAATACAGCATATTTCATTTCTTTACAATAACAATGCCTCCTAGTCTCATCAATCCCACAACCTTTTTTCCACACCATTTCCTGTCTAAGCCACTGGGTGGCCCTTTCCTTATTGCAACTATACACATGCTTACAATACCAAGTGTTCAACTACAACACTATTCAGCCTGCATCTCGTGACACCTAATGCTCAAAGTACACATTATTTGTATGCAACTCTTAACACCTACAACAATGCTTATGGACTAACTTCTTGCGGAACAAAAATACATTTCATCAGACTCGCCTTGTAGATAACATTGCCCTGCAGGTCACTCTTCCATTCCTACTCTGGACAGTGCCATTGCTCTTTCTCCGCCCATGCTGGTTTCTCAGCAGACACCATCTCTGTTCCGGCCGGACCGTACCGTTACACACACTCCCTATACGAAATTACATAGAATTGTATTACATATAAATAAATATTGTTAACTTACTGTAGCAAGTGCTACAACCATTACTTACGAACGCTCTAAACTACACTATTATTCCCTACTTATTCTCTTACATCAACATCTAATATTCTGTATATTACGTACTGATGTCTACCCATTTCTAACACTCACCAAAACTACAATATTTTGCAAAACCATGTGTTCCACCTCTGACTAATGATATTTATCAATTTTAACACCAAAGCGCAGTAATAACATGTCTGGGGGTTGGGAGAAATGACAACACTGTCTGGTATACATACAATTGCAACGCTAACACGACATCAATTTCATTACACTTCTTGGGATTTAGTGGTCCCCCCCCACAATTCCCTAATCCTCCAATTTCATCTGGGTTGCACACCTCGCTACCTAGCATTAACAGCACAATATTTGCCTATAACACCTATTTCGTGTACCTATATGACCACACATACATGTTCCAGGGAAATATAACGATCTGCCTCTTCCCAATACACAACTCTTCCTTAACCAAAACAACAACAACTCCCCCACCATACCCTTCCTGCTACACAACTATAACAAAGATCCCGTGGACCAAAACCTGAAGCTCACCCACATTACAACACGTATTTACATTTGCAATTTATGAACCAAAACGTGTTGCTTTTAATTCATCTACCAACAATACTGCCACACCGCGTGCTATCTGCTCGCTACATAGTCCTACCTACAAACACCAATATCACATGCATCCACACGCGTACCCTACCCATCGTCTGCCACCTACACAGTATTCAAGACAAATACTCGCACGAGGGAGTCACATCTGGAGTGAGAACGAGTCTACCATTTGTCGCAAGTCGACCGGAAGCTTTACATACCCTCCGTTACAATTTTCTGATTTTTTTTACATGTTTGCCATGAGTAACGGTGACGTTAAATTACTATAAACATTACAACAAGACTTAATGCAAGTAACTTCAAATAGTAACAGTTCTATAATTCAAGCGACCCTTTACCAGATTTATGTCTACGTCCCGCTACATGGACACTAAACCAACCCATTTACAAACTTTTCACCCCCCCCCCTATCGGTTACACATGTTAAATCTGTACCCAGATAACATGAAAGCTTGAAAGGGGAATGACAACGGCACTATTGTCAGACATATTTCAAAGACGCTACACGCAGGACAACCTTCAACAACTGGTAGTTGCATTTACGCCTATTTACTAGTTTACATGTGCCCATTGTCAGACCTTTCATCCCGAGTCAAACCTACAGTATAATTATCTCCATCCTGTGCTTGACTATCTGTAATCTTTTCAACATCCTTACACATTCCTCTTCGAAAACTGCTACATGAGGGAGACTGTACATGGTGCTTCTTACTAGTAAATAATTCCATTTTTGGCCCCCTTTCAATTCTTTGCCCTTTCCATTACATTTATTACAATATTTCAAGCGTTTTATACATAAACATTCTATTCACCTAGGCACAGACTCGAACCATCCACCCTCCCCACGAGGGAGACAAAAGCTCTATCGACCGACATGATGCTGCTCCAAACATTAGTTTTCTATACTTTTTTTATTTTATCATTTAATGATTCGTGCATTTAAACCAGTTTATATTACGCAAATGTTTTAAACTCGCGCAATGCTATCCACATAGGAATATAATTATAGTCGTCAAACTTTCCTGTCTCAAAGTTAGATCAACCCCCCCACCCACAAAACATTTAAACAGGCGACTCTCCACATGACACCCCCGGCCACTTCGTACTCTATTGCATGTCGCCGATCTTCCTTGATCCGTTGTTTTACATTCATCGAATGGCACTAAACTCCTTATCAACCATCGGATATCGTGACTGCGTAAATGAACTTGCCTGCACTCCCTCTATATTGAAACCATAAACACACAACGACTACCTTCGCCCGTTATTAGTGTACCGCGCCGCACTAACGCAAAACTTTATTCTAGGAATAAACAGGTGTTCAAACCGTTAACAGTCTGCCATTATGAGGCTTTCCCGCTCTTTACATGCATGGCCTCTCAATGCCTACTCATCTACTTTATTACATTTAACATTCTCTTGTTACTACAAATACCATTACTTCCATACTTCGTGTCATTGCACCTAGTTCTCTCAAACATGCCAGTATTTGACTAAACATGTATTTGTTAACCTATCAACGATGACTAATTGAAATTATACTGCCTAAAAAACTTTCCTTTCCCAACACCAAAATATGACACGATCATCATTTCTACTTCCAATATATAAATGCCAACGAACATCATTGCAATTACGGCAAAACTTACTTCCTGTGAAACCACTTCACTCACGGTCCAAAAAGTCAGTTAAGCATTCGTAAACTACTTTAGTATCAACTTTGGACAACTCGCCAAAGAATATCACACCAAAACATCTTGCCAAATAAACATTCCACTCCCGTCCTAGTCTCACTTCTATACGCAAGACATTAACCCACCCACCCAAGGGTCACTATCTCAACTACGTGCTCACATCCAGTTCACCTAAACTTTTCTTACGGACACCTCGCAAAATTAACCTTCTGTAGCACGGTGATACGTGTAGTCAATTTACAGTGACCCGTCACAACATGTCCGCGTTTTCTTATGCTTCTGCTCACAAATCTTATATCAACGGTTAACCACTGATGAGTGCCATCTTAAGGCACGCTCCAAACCTTAAACGCCCAATCGCAAACTGTCAAAAGACACCATATTCATTTCAAACGTCGAGCTCAAAGCACATTTCATAAACTGCCCCCAAACTGTGCCAGTTGGTCAGAAATGTTTTCCAAATTAATACTATATGTACATACTTGGCACGTGTTACATACAAATACATTTAACTACCCATTTCACCTATATTAGGCATACTATTCTATTTCACCTCAACACAACGTTTTACAAGGTCGAACCCGAGGAAAAGCGTTTGAACCAACATGGGGGGTTTTAAGTGCTATCATTACACGTCTAAATATCAAAGCTAACTTAAAGCATATTCATTTTACGATGTTTAAATCGGGACCGTTCAAACGTATTCACTCCTTCACACTATATCAATCACACATTTTTGCAACAAACTGCACGAGAGGAAACGCAAAACTTTCACACTACAGCACAAAAGTGATGTTACCATTGGCCGGCTCTACCACAGTTTAGTACACAGATTTAACACAAGCTCACCTTTAGTCTCCAGTAAACGCCCGAAGACAACCAATCCCAAGCTGCTTTGGTCCAGTATTTACCATCTACCCCTCAATGGCAACAGTCGTCAGGAGTAAATGATGACGTTGACGCGACGAGTCTTGCGTGCTCCTTCTGCACGAGATGCCCCAGGATGCCTCCTACCAATCAGTCAAGTATTCCCTGCAACAATGGAACACTTACAGGCTTGGCGCAATATTAAATTTAATTAAGCCTATACCATACAAACAAATAACATCTTTCAATTATACTAGACTTTCTGCTAAAGCTAAGCAAGAGGCTCATTCTAAATGAACATTTTAATCCAATCAAGGTGGCGGCACTTTTCAAGCAAAGATGTTCACTACCACTTACAACCTGTGGGTTGACCCACCAGTTGATGAGCTAGTACTGAACTACTTGCCACACTAGTGTGTAGTTTAAATTTCATGTCAACTGATTTACCTAGTAGTTTAATTTCAAACGAGCAATGATTTTTGGACCACCTCAAGTCATATGGACAAATAAGTATGCTTTCACCTCAAATCTTAACATTTTGATCCATAGGAAATAACTTTAGTTACCAGGTTAACCTGGATTAAGGATATTTAATATCTACATCACTTACTTTCACGCCATGTGGCACCAGGTTCTGCTTGGTACGTCCACAATCCATTCATTGCTGAACCAGTCCTTAGCTGTGGTCTTGTCTCTGGGAGTTTGCCACCTCACGAATCGCGTCATTTCACTTTACACTACCAATATCCACATCTTCAACGAGTACCATCTGGTCTGCAAAAAAATAAAAACACTTAAGGGAATGTTAATTAACATGAAGTAGTAGAGATATTTTAGTACTGACCATGGGTCAGTACTAGAATAATCTCTGCGTATATAATGCATATTTAGAAAGTTAAATTAATAAATATTTTGACCTCTAGAATTTTGCCTTTTGAAGGTGTATAAGCCTACGGTAGGCTAGGGGTCTGTTGGCCCTAGTAGGCCAGGAAAAACATCTAGAGCAACAGACCCCTAACACTACCAAGCTATACACCCTTACAACGCAAGTTCTAGGGTCAAAATAACGCTCCGCTCCACCTCACCGAGCAGGTGGACACAACGGCCAATCACGTTTCTCCGTTTTCAATTGACGTCACATTCCCGCTACCTCCACTCTCGCTCCTCATTGGTCGCCTCCACCTAGTTGGATACCCTAGTAGTTCATATGAGATTTTTTCATCTAACTTAAAAATATATACACTGAAAGAAATTATAACCCGCTTCTCCGCTATACACACTGAGTTTACTCTAGTCATGGACTATGTTTACGGCTAAAAGTATTCCTGCTGCTTCGTAAACTACTGTAGTGACGTTAATAGCCAGCAACAAGGTAGTAGATTGATTTTCGAACTTCTGACATTCTTTTCACTGTATTACGATGCCCGTCCTTATAAATAAATGCCATATGCTCATTAACATGAGCATAAACCCACATTTTTACGAAGATAAACATTTCACGTTCTATTCACTACTGATGACGTTCGAACATTTCTCGAACAGTGCTTCGCTGATGACCTCTGCTCGAATCCCAAATCCTCACTCCTCAGACCAACCCGTCCTCAGACCAACCCCATTCATCCCAGCGGTCGACCACACACATGCATTCATAAATTATTACATGATGCTCATTCAAAACGACTTTTTCTGTTATAAATGCAGAAAGGCAGAGGAGACGAATATACGCCACACTTACAATTTTACACGATGTTCATTCAAAACAGGAAATTTGTCATATAGACATTATTTTCTTAATATGTTAGCATATTGTGCATCTATAGGCATAGGTTAGGTTAGGTTCTGTTGGCGTTTTTTTTTTTTTTTAGTACGTGGGTGAAACATTTATAACCTTGTGGTTCGAACAAAAGTCGTCAGTGAAGCACTTGTTCCAGAAGTGTTCGAACATCATCAATCGTGTGTAAACCGTTCTTTATTCATAAACACCAGCTCTGCCGGGTGTATGGAATCACTTTTGGGTCTTTGTTTGGAGGACGGGCTGACGGGCTTCAAACCACAACGCTGTAAACAGCCCGTCCTCCAAACAAAGATCCAAAAGTGATTCCATCCACCCGCCAAACCCCCTGTTTATGAATGAAAAACGCTTTACACACGACTCACAACTGCTGACGTTCCAACATATCCGGAACAAGTGCTTCACTGACGAATTTTGTTCGAACCACAACGCTATAAATGCTTCACCCACGTACTACAAATACAAATAATCGACAACAGAACCTAAACACCTAACCTATGCCTATATATGCACAATATGCTAATATATTATAATATTAATTTATACTTGAGAAAATTCCCGTTTTGAATGAACAGCATATTAACATTTATGAATGCGTCTGTGCGGTCCACCGCTGAATGTAATGGACTTGAGTCGAGGACGGGTTGACGGGCTTCGAACCACAACGCTGTAAAAGCTTCACCCACGTACTCAAAATACAAATAATCGCCAAGAGAACCTAAACACCTAACCTATGCACAATGTGCTAATATATTATTATAATTTCCATCTGAAAAATTTCTTGTTTTCAATGAACATGTAAACATTTATGAATACGTCTGTAGGGGTCGACCGCTGGATGGAATAGACTTGATTTGAAGACGGGTTGTCACCCCATATATTCAAATAATTTGATAAAAAGCCTCGTACTCATCATGACCATCCACTCCACATGTTTAGCCACGTCATAATCACCGGTTACAACCAAGACACATTTCCTAAAAAAAATACACATTTCCCAATAATCCCCTCCCAAGGCGCCCGGTCCCCTCCTCCTCCTCCCACCGGTACTCACAACATGCCCCTCCACACACAAAGCTTCAAGCTGCGCCAGTCGACCCATTTAAAAATCCCTCTGTTTACTTTTGTAAAATACACCCAAGCCGGGAGCTTCTTCCTCCAGTCACGTCCCATCACTTCAACCTTTCCACAACTTTTCGAACACTTTTCCTTACCCTCTCGTACACCAAATATCTGCCCATTGCTACTCGCTTCATGCCTAAACCTTCACTTCAAAATACTTCTTAACCCGTTTTGTTCATTGTTATACCGCTCCTACTATAGTGTACGCGAGGTACACAATGGTACAGTTATTATACACACTAACAATATGGAGGATTCTGGAATAAGCGTGTCCTTGTGTTGTGCGGGCCGGCTGGCTGGTCTGTCCAGCCGGCTTAAACTAATGGATATCGATAACACGCAACTCGCCGCCCTCTGTTTGCCACGTTAAACTTTTACTCAACGTTAGGCCAACTTTGGTAACAAGTTCTATTGTTCTTTATGATAGGCAGTCTGACGTCTAACAAGTTCTACTGTTCTTTGATACGCAATCTCAACGTCGAACAATTTATACTATTCTTTTCGATACGCAATCTGACGTCTAACAAATTCTACTACAGTGTTTTTTATAACACGCAATCTGACGTCTAACAATATCTACTATTCTTTGTGATACGAAAATTTCTAATCCTATTTATGATACGCATGTTGACGTAAGCAACACAAAATGGCTTAAACTTACTACACACAAAAACATTTTCTCACGGCAATTCAACATTTTCCCGTATTTCCTTACGATACTTACGATTTCATATTTTCAATTTGGTTAATGCTGCCTACCTTGTCAAAACCACATACCATGATCTTCAGAGATTACTTTGATTTGCCATATAGTGACAATATTAACACAATATCAAGCCAAGCCTAGCCTCGCAAGTCATTTTTTTTCTTTTCGTGTTGCTAACACTGTCAAACAACACTAATAAATTATTCGATATCATTCAAGACAACAATACGAGAGCAACAAACACACAACGAACGATGTGTGAGATCTTTGAGTCCATCGACATGCAAGAGGATATCACGGAGGCAACATATCACAGCAACATGATGCGAGCTTCACACCTGTAAAGATAACAATAACCAACACAAACTTGTTCCACTAACGCGACGTAATTATCAGGAGAAAGCACAATGCCATTACAACTATATAAGTGCCCTTAAACTTAGTCTAGCCTCGTAAGTCATTTATTTTCACAACCTGTTACGATGCAGGGGAAAGGGGGGAGGACACGAATATACGCCACACTTAAAATGACCCAATTATTTCATTCATAATGAACGTTCAAAATACCTAACTCAAAAACACACAATTAACTGATAGCTAACTGGTTAATGGTGATTATATATATATTATATATTACATTTGTTGTTCAATATGACCGAAAGGGTAAGATTAATGATTCTAACACGATTCCTCTCAATATTTCTTTGGGTTTTTCACTGTCGGGGGAAGTTGAACAATTAATTCTCAAAAGTTCATTTCCATTTTTTAATTATCATCTGACGCCTAGAAATGTCAGAAGTAATATATATATTACATTATAAATAGTAATAAAAGACTGATAAATGATACCTCTAGCAGACTATTAAATCAAACTAAGACCCCCCCCTCCTATGTATAACAAAACTCATTATAATATTCAATCCCAATAACAAGCTACTCATTCAAGACAAAATAGGCAACCCCCACAAATTAGGTTCCTAAGATAAATTTATACAAGACAAAAATCAAGCTACAATTCCTCAAGAATTAGACTCAACAAATGGCGGAACTATGTCCTCGATTTCTTAAAATAATCTATTTACACCACCTATTTTCCATCCTCCATAAACTATGCTACACCACCTTTATGCCCCTCCCATTCAACGACAAACTCAAAAACATACAAAATGAAGTCATGACATTCTTTGAGTACCAAACACAAACAACACATCCATTCCAAGACAACAGCTAAGCCTTTTTTTAGCCATAAATGCACAAACAAGTAACTTTTAGCATCGTCGGCGCCCCCCTACTGCAATGATGTTACCAAGAAAATACACATCTACCCTAATCATATACCAAACACCTCACAGTGACACGATCGATCACTATGTTTTCTATAATTAAACCTGATTGAGCAAGCACGTGCGTTGATACCTGTAACAATGCCCCTTGAACAACTATGTTACCTTTAAATACATGACATGTCAACGAACAAATTAAACATGTTACCTCAAGAAATAAGACATATGCTCTAGGAATTTATTATTATCCAATCATACAATGAACGTCACTTCAGTCACACGCCCATATAAAACTCCTTAAATTGCTTTAGTATACAGATGATGAGTCACAATAACGTGGCTGAAATATGTTGACCACTGTCAGTGTGGTCTGGTCAACATATTTCAGACCACAACATATTTAGTGTGGTCTGGTCAACAGCAACAGACCAGTTCCTTTAGTATCTCCTTAACTGGAATAAGTTGCTCCGTTTTCTTTCTTTTTCATAACTGCTCGACAGGTACTGAAAACGAACCGGTGAAGAAATCAACGTCATACTGCTTAAATCTCAGTACTTACTGCCTGATTGGCCCACAGCCATCGAGCCTCGACCAATAAAGTAACCAACTGAGGTCACGTGACTCCCGAGAGAAGCGAGGTGGTGCTTCTCAATTTTCCACACATCACTACACCGTCACTACCCGAAGAAGACTCACCTACTAGTACGAACACCTCTTATCCAACGTCATTAATTTCTTGTGGAAGGAACGTCGCCGCCAGTCACCATTCTTGGGGAAGTTGACGGGGCATTACCTACGAGCTGCCATTGCCCACAGCACGTAGAGAAGTACCGGTGAATTGTGAGAATTGATATATTCTCTTTACCCGAGAGGACGAAGGAAGCAGAAATGAAAGCAAGAAAGTAACGCAGAGGTGATCTTGTGCCAACTATATGGTAGACACTGAATTGCTGCACCTGACGCGCTAAGAGTCCCTAGTCTCAAAACTTGCATAATTTCATGCTTGTGGGGATCATTGGTGAGTTTGTAACACGGCTAACTGTTAAAGTATACAGTAGTTAACATTGTCATAATCAAATATTTAAGGGAGGGGACAGTTGCTTAAATCATAACTAGGAAATTGAACCTGTGTTTTATCTTCAAATGTTCCTCTT